CATGAAGGCTCTGGGTCTGGCAGTTCCGCTTCCCAAAGAAGGTTTTGGAGAGATAACCGTGGATGACTCTTGACAGAGAACAGCAATTTTTTGAACAGTTTTGCAGCTACCTTGAACCAGCTTCAGACAGCATATAGTCTCAGGATTATTTGCCATTTGCGCTTTTCCTGGTGGTTGTGGGACTCTCAGTGAAAAGCGAATCTGAGTTGAGACGATTGAGCACTCTTTAACATATTTGCATGAATGGTTTTGTTATATCCTTTCTTTCTTTCTTTCTTTCTTTCTTTCTTTCTTCTTCCTTTCCTTTCCTTTTTCCTTTTCTCTTTTTTTCAATGTTCTCATGATTATCATGTTGAACTTTCTGACCTCGCTTTGGTCTCTAAGTTGGTGATTTGGGGCCTCCTGGTGGTGCCCAGTAGCATGGACCGAAGTGATGGAGCGAAGTCTGTGCTCTTCCCTTCTCAAGTGCCCAAGCTTCAGGCGATAAGCGGCGCAAAACGACTTGGACACTTATTGTAGTTAATAATTGCATGTTTGATGTTTGTTTATTTTCTACCTTTCTTCCTTGTTTTCCTGTTTCCTTTTTTGACACATTTTTTAAAATTGTGTCTACAGCTCCAATAGAGGCTCAAAGTTAGCCCCTAGTCAGCTCGTTCCCATCCGCAATGGACTCCAGACACAGAAGAGCTCATTGAGCTCCTGATTGGATCGACGATATCGACGAATGATTCTGTACGACAACAAGAGTCTCGCCTCCTTGTGCAAGTGCACTGGCTCAGTCTTCCCAAAGGCGAACCTCGCCAGTGCGCCATGAGCGAAACAAATGAGAAGATGCTTCAGAAGATGCAACCAAGAGCATCCAACCTAAGAGCGATGGCCTTCAATCAAAGGAAAGATGCATCAGAGACGTATTTTATTCATTTTAGGTGACGTGATGTGACGTCTACCGTAGTCCACCTGCTTCCATTTGATTTCAGAGCTAGCCTCACTTGTCTTATCCTCTTCGTCACAGCAACTCTTGAACGTGCAGGCATTCTTGGTGGCTCTTCTGCCAGTTTCAGTCGCAGCGCCTAGCTTAGCTGTCAACGTTGAATCAAGCAAAACTATGTCACACAAGGCTAGTCTTAAGTAGGGTGGTCCGTGCTGGAGTCATTTCATCTCGTTTCATTGCAGGGCATTGCATTTCATTCGAAGTGGGAAATTGCTGAACACTCAAAGCCGTTCAAACACACACCGCGTCGACAAGCGGTGGACAATGGGGAGAGGCCAACGTTGGCCTACCCCCGCAACACCCCCAAGAGGGACCAAGATGCTCCGCCAAACAAGCAAAATCAAGCCTTGTTGGGGACCGACTATCTGAGGGCAAAGACATAAATTGGAAGAAACAAGGGCATTACTACTAGCTATTTGCTAGTAGGTGATGCTCTTGTTACTGTAGCGATGCACTGTTACTACGTTGATGCAAAGCTTGAGATTGACGGAAAATCTGTTTGAGAAAGCCACCTACTATGGGAGACAAGAAGGGTTGCAAGTAGGGTGAAGAAGCAAGTCATGCCGTAACAGCCACCTAGTGTGGGGAGACAAGAACGCACATCATGGTGTTGCTTTTAGTTGTTGGAAAAAGCAAATCAACAACATTGATGCGATTTGAAAGCCGTGCAGTTAGGCGCTGTTGAAGTCGCTTGCTCTCGGTGGCCAGATAGGTCCACGACCCAGTTTCATGAGACGTTCGTGTGATGTATGTGGCGGACGCCGTAGTGTTGTCACTGAAGTGATATGTTTTGAATTCATGAAGATGTATTTGTTCAAGCAAGCATGACCTTTTCCTTTCGCTTTAGATCATTGCTTGTTCGACAGTCTGCAAAGTTACCTCGCCTCGCCTCTTGAACAGAAGGTTCTCTTGTTGTAGAAGTAGAAGCACAAAAAACTCTTTTTCTTAAGGTTCTTCCTACTAGGTTGGAGGCCATCACTAGCAGGTTGGAGGCTAGTAGGTTGAAGCACTAAAACTCCTTTTTCCTGATTTACCCTCGGACGTGAACCTTGCGCAGATCTGAATGACTTGGACCTGGTCACAGATGGCTCAGTGTACGGCTCCTTTGCCTTTGTCCTGGGCTTTACCTTGGTTTTTCGATGCCAGCAAGCATATCAAAGATACTTTGCTTCTGCGAAAGCTCTGCACATGATGAGCTCAGATTCATGGCTTCAATGCTTGCTTTCCACTCATTCCGCACAGATTTCGTCGCTTTTCAGCCTTTTGCAGTGAAAAGGATTCCTTGTGGAGACACGTGCTTGGCATTCCTTTGTGTCTCAGGAATGGCTGGATGCCTGTGGCAGCTTGCTGTCCTTCATAAAAGTCTCTAGAGCAAGTGACAGCTGGCATCTCAGGAAAAGCAAAGCATTGTAAAGCATTTTCTCATTGGAAACAGTGGAATTTCTTGCCAGCATTCCACCGTTTGACTGCGGTTGTGCCATTCAAGAGCATTCAAAGTACCTCACTTTTTGCAGTTTGTGCACACTTGGCAAGTTCAGTCTAGAAAAGCTTGCTTCTTGCTTCACCTTGTTCTTGGACAAAGAACTCACACCCAAAATCTCATGCTTGCACTCAAATCTCTATGCTTCTAATTGTCTTTCAACTCAGGAGAGCAAAGGCGGTATGAAGCTGTGCTAGTGAGATTGCCAGGTCCTCAGAGTGGGCTCCGGTTCTGTTGGATTTCGAAGCTGCACAAATCGCTGCGGCTAAGACCAACTGCAGCTGTCAAATGAAGCAAACATGGAGCTCCAAATGAAGGTTTCGTACGTATGCTTTATCGGACGACTTTACAAACAAACTCTGTAAAGTGAGACTTCAAGAATTTCGAGCCAAGACTTCCGAGCCTGCAAGTTTTCGCAGAACGTTGCTTGTTCAAATCTCCGTTCGTAGCGTCTTCTTGTTACTAGTAGCGAGGCCAGGAGCCCCTAGTAGCTTCTTGCTCCGTTCGTAGCGATGCCCTTGTTCCTAGTAGCGTCCTTGCTCCTAGTAGTAAGGCCAGGAGCCCCGTTCGTAGCGTCCTTGAAGTTACATGATTGACAGTGTGCACCTGCCACGTTGGTTCTTCTGGGCAAAGTGATTTCTGTAAGCATGGCGCTGTGAGAACACCCTCAAATCGGAGGTTCGCCATGATGCTCAACCCCTGACACTGGACCCGCACACTTTGGTTCACATCCGGCTCACAAATCAAGTTCCCCTCGGTCTAGAACCCCGGAACATCATTTCTCGAAAGTTCCACACTAAATGTGGACACGCTGCTCGGTGAGTCAACTGCTTTTGTCTTCTGCAAACTCATGGATGTGGAACCTCAACTCAAAAGCGCCGAGTTGTTTCGAGTTCTTCTTTTTGCACAGCTGCACTTGTTCTTACTAGAAGCAAGATTGCTCTTAGTAGCGATGCCAGGAGCCCCTAGTAGCGTTCTTGTTACTGCATAGCTTTTGTTCTGGTATGTTCTTTCTTTGAGGTTTTGCCTGCTGCATGCCATCGCCATGGAGGAACTTTGTAGCCTTGCAGAAGCTCGCCAAAACAAAAGACTGACAAAGCGCAACGAGTTACTGATTTGAGAAACAAGCAAGAACTGTCCCAGTTGAATGAAGGCCATCGCTCTTGGGTTGGAGGCCATCGCTAGAAGGTTGGAGGCAACCTAGTTTCAGTTGTCATAAAAAACAATTCCCTAAGAGCTCAGGTGGTTGAGTACAAAAGGTATTTTAGTTGACCCACCCTCTCCCTACACTTTGTTAGATTCTAGTAACACACCCTGTAAGGTCCATCAGCGATTTTGGGCGAATGTGATGCTAAGCATATGGAAGTGCGACGGCCTCCAACCTACTAGCAAAAGGAACCTAATAGCGTCCTTGCTAATAGGAGCGATGCCCGGGTTCCTAGTAGCTTCTTGCTCCTAGTAGCGATGCCAGGAGCCCCTAGTAGCGTCCTTGCTACTACTAGCAAAAGGAACCTAATAGCAACGGACTCCAACCTAAAAGCGATGGCCTCCAAGCATGAGGAAGTGCAACGGCTCATGAAGGAAGCGGGTTGTTTTCCTACACGAGATGTAGCACGTTCAGCTCACTTCAAAAGGCACTTCTTACCTTTGTTGATGAACCGGCATTGAATCCGTCATAAGACATTGCAATGATAGTGAAACTATTTGGAGCTGCGCATTGGGTGAACAGTCTTTTCGATGGACAAAGGTTCTTTGGCCTAGTCTGCCAAATCTTTCCCCAATAAAGTGGTTGAATCCATTGAGACTTTGTTTTGCAAACACATGCTGTGCGTCAATCCTCATGCACTACTGTCATTTATGTTCGATAAAGGCAAGGCTCTTTTGCATAGATTTGTGGAACCAACTCTCTTCTCGGCTTGAAATTTGACATTTCCCTTCTTCAGGAAGAGAATTTTCATCTTTTGGATATCGAGGCGCAAGTCTTCAACACATACGGAGACATGTTGAGAACCGTATTCATCAAATTGTGCCATTCAAACCGTGCGTCCATGTAGGCCTTTGCAAAGCAGGATCTCAAGGTTTTGCACGGCAGCATTCCTGGACCGCAGAAAGTGCAAGTTGTCCTTACCTTGGTTCATGACGTGACAGGTTTTGAGGAAAAGCAACCGAAGAAACAGAAAAAAGACAAGTTTGAGTAGCTTAAGGTTCTGGTTTGGATCAAATATTTTATCGTTCAAGGCATTGACACCGGAATCTTGGCGCCAAGCTTTGGGCACTTTTTGTCGTGTTCTTTTTCTCCCAAGCAAGCGGCAACACTACTAGGAGCAAAGGGCATCGCTACTAAGAGCAAGACGCTACTGGTAACAAGGGCATTACTAGTAGCATCACCCAAAACAGTCTCAGAAGAAGATCTCTGAACCGCTGGTGTGCCCAATTTCCTTGTCCGGTTTTACTTTGAACAGCACTGCAGGTCTATTGTCGATTCCTCCACCGATCTTGACGCGTGTTTACCAAGAAATAGGAGCTGGAATGGCTGAATTCCATGATGCACAACTCATTTCAATGTGGCCCTTCCCATTTCCATACGCTCAGCTCTCGCTGCTGTTGACCGTGCTTCATATGATGATTTCTCCTTTGATTATGGTGCCGGCCTTAGGCATGGTGTATGGCCTTCAACCTACTAGCGATGGCCTCCAGCGTAGTAGCGATGGAGTTGGTGTTCCTGAAAGATTTGCTACTGAGGTGCAATACACCAGGTGGGTGTGGTCTGCTTGCTTTCTGACTTGTGTTTCTGTGGTTAGCGTCGTGGCTCTAAACATCATAAGCCTGGAGCTGGAGAACCCCTTTGGCGAAGACCATAACGACCTCCCTGCCAACGAAGTCCACGATCACTTTCGCGACAGCCTGTTGGTTCTCTCTGATCCAGACAATTGGCAAGTTCCTCGCTTGCTGCAGAACGCAACTCTAGACTTTGGACACTTAAAAAAGCGGCGAGATTCTCAGCGAAACACCATCGCAGATTTTCTCAAGGACTGAGTTACCTTCCTGAGATGTTTCCTTTACCCGAAAGACAGTATAGGGAGTTCAGAACTAAGAACGCCTTGAAAGCTCATGCTTCCTTGGAGGCCATCGCTCTTAGGTTTGAGGCCATCGCTAGTAGGCTGGAGGCCATGGCGTTTCGCATATCTATTGATCACCCTTTTCGCAGGAAGCTACAGATCCTCAAAAGCCGGAAGTTCTTTTACTTCCTTTCCCAGAGCAAGCAAAAGAGGGTGGCTATGGTGGCGAAGGACTTGCCCGCCCTGGCGACTTGGAATCATGCGAGACCCATGCTGCCCACGCCGCACAGGTCGCCGCGGCACAGGAAGCAAGACTTTTCCAATATCTTGAGAAAGGGCTTGAGCGGCAAGCACTTTTGCTGGAGACATTCCTGGCAAAGCAGACGGGTATCTTCGAACAGCATGCGCACGTTACAAAGTCCCTGGCAACCACAAAGGCGACGCGGTTGGTCACTTTGTCGATTTGCACCTCAAAGCGTTCTTGCTCCGTTCGTAGCGATGCCAAGAGCCCCTAGTAGCTTCTTGTTACTAGTAGTAATGCCAGGAGTCCCTAGTAGCGTCCTTGCTCCTAGTAGCGATGCCCTTTGCTCCTAGTAGCGTCCTTGCCCCTAGCAGTATGGCCAGGAGCGCCCCTAGTAGCGTTCTTGCTACTGACTCTCATCACACAATGCACTGGGTGTAGAATGCTTGATCTAGGATAAGAAATCATTAAAGGCTCTCCCCCCGCCCCTCAAAGATCTTCCTTGAAGAAGCCTGAGCCCTTCTACGCCCCAGCCTCGTAACTACTTCAGCTCAGTAGCTACCCCTGACTTGTTAGCTTACTAAAGCCTACTAGCGGCCTACCCTGGACCTTGATATAAAACCCTTTCTGTTTCTCTTTGTGCTTTCGCTCCAGGCTCATTCGCCGCCTTCAGTTTTTGCTGCGCCTCTGGAACAGGAATTCTGTGGTTGCACCTTGAAGCGGAGGAGCCTTCCTTGCACAAGCAAAGACATAAGAAGACAAACATCTCTATCATACAAGAGATAAAGTTCAAAACAAGCAACAAGATAAAGCGAAAGCTGGAAAGTGAAGCAGCTGAACAGATATTGGAAACCTGCCAGGAAGACGTAGTTTTGCTAAATGCGTAGAGAAGCTTGTCGTTTGTATTGTGTCAGTCTGGAAGTGGAGTGGTTGTGTTCGGAAGTGCGCTCTGGGTATGGTACCTGTTCGCAACCGCTTGTGTCAAGCCGCTTGCATGCTGTGTCTCATTCCTTCCAGTGGGATTCATTTCGTTTCATTTCCCTGCACAGGTGCCTGCAACCTAATAGCGATGGCCTCCAACCTAGGTTTTTGGAGGTGTTGAATGTAGCTTGTGCCCTTTTGGTATTTGCTTTTGGGTTTGCTTCGATTCAAAGGTACAATTTGCCGCTGTAGCTGATGTGCACAAGTTTAGAATCCCAAACCCATTTCAGTGTGCTGCAACATTTGCTATACCTATGAAAATTGGATAAAATTGGGGCAGGTGCAGTACTTCGTTTGTGTTGGTGGTGTTTGGGTTGTAAAGTATGCAGAGGAATCCTGAGATTGCTACATTTCGTGAAGGTTTATCGCTGTGCGGTAGGAATCTTCCTTGGCTGTGCATCGGCAGGGCTGTGCAGGCGTTTACTTGCAACATAACAAGCCATCATGACAATGACATACGTTATGATGTTAATAAAGGCGTGGGCATGCGGTTTGGCAAGCTTTAAGCTGAAGGCCCTGCACTTCGCCACCTTGCAAATCACCACATGTCACTGCACGATGCCAGAGACCACCACACCCAACTTCACCATGCAAAACCCTGAATTTCGGCGCATCACACATCACCACTTGGTCGAAACGAAACTAGCAGGTGGGAGGCAATCGCTAGTACGTTGGAGAATCTGGAACAAGAAGCTACTAGGGGCTCCTGGCATCGCCACTAGGAGCAAGGACGCTACTAGGTAGGGCTCCTGGCCCTGGTTAGAATACACTAGACAAAAGAAACTAGCAGATGCTTGGAGCACAGCACTGACATGACCGGGACGCAATGAGAGACAGCAAAGAGTGACAATAAGAGAAAAGGAACAGCAACGAAGCAATTTGCAATGAAGTCTTGAAACAACAGGTCCAAGTTTGTGTTTTCTTTACAGTTGGCTTATGAAGTCTTGAAACAACATACAGCTGGCTGCTTGCTTCCCAGGTGATGGACCGGTTTGCGACTGGGGCCAAAGGTTCCAGACGCATTTCGCACTCTCGAAGTTGCCAAATAGTGGCATTTTCATCCCGGCACAAAAGCTTGGATGGTCATGGACACTTGCAGGTTGCAGTATTTGGGGATTGTGGCATAGAGCCTGGCTTTCTACCAACTTTCGGAAAAACTTCCTTCAAAACGACACTGGGAGACAGTGATTGTTTGTGCGCAGGTCTATGTCCCAGATGAGGTGAAGGCCTTGCCAGCAGAGGCTGCTACACGTTCCAGGGTTTTCCTTTTTCCAGTCTAAGGTGACACTGGCAAACTTGTAACAGCATGTCCTCCAACCTAATAGCAATGGCCTCCAACCAAATTGCAAAGGCAACTGCACATTCTGATTTGAGGCTCCAATTCTCAAGAGCCGAAGACTTCGGGACAAGGGCTGCGGCAAGCCGTGGTGTCATTTTTCAGCCCACGCAAACTCTAGAAGGCTAACGCACACGATGTGAAAGAAATGGAGATGTTTTTGTCAAAGACACCTCCATTGACCCTCTCACAACGGCAGCCATTTGCAAGAGCGTAGACGTGCCGAAGTCAGAGTGGAAGAATCCCGAAACATACATAATATTGTTACTAGTAGCTTCTTGTTCCTAGTAGTAAGGCCAGGAGCCCCTAGTAGCGTCCTTGCTGCTAGTAGTGATGCCAATTGCGCAAGTTGCTTGGGTTGCCTTTTTTGTGATGCATCCGATTGTCTCCGTTGCGCTGCAAAAAATAACCAAGCTTTTCCGTTGTGTGTTTTTCCTGCAAAAAAAGGTCTACACAGGAATAATCATGTTTCTTTTGTTTTGTTTTTCGGCGTATTTGGTGATTTGTTTTAGGAGCCTGGTGTCCAGGACCCTGATGGAGAGCTGCTTCTACCACTGAAAACGGCTAAGCCAAAAGGCGCAAAAGGCAACAAGAGGAAGAGTCCAGCAGGGTGCCTTGACTGAAAGTCGACACGTTTCCTTTTTTTCCTTCTTTCTTTCTTTCTTTCTGTACACCAGAAATTTTCGACTGACTCCCACATTCGCATGCCCAGGTGTTCCCACCTGTGCAGATTTTCCTTACACTTCCCACAGTTGAGTGTCATGTTTCCTGGCGTAGCTTGATGGTGGTTAGGGGCCAACAGAACAGCTCAAGCTGACAGCAGTGGTGTGGAAATTGGCAGAAACTGCAAAACTCAACAGGCCCTTCAGTCGCACATTTGTCGAGCAAGAATGGTATTCTGTGTTCCCTTCAAGGAGCTTGAGCTACTAGGAGCAAACGGCATCGCTACTAGGAGCAAGGACGCCTTACTACTAGTAACAAGAAGCTACTAGGAGCAATAAATCTACTATTTTGCCAACGGATGTTTTACACCGCTTTGCCCAACCGCGGCACACGTCTGGTTGGGGACCATGGCCCAGTTTCAAGTCACAGCAACCGGCTCCAACCAAAGCTGGTGTGGGTGCCTCGTTATCCAACTCCAATCCTGTAACTCATCGATCCAACGTGGATTTCATCCAAGTAAAGGTCAGGCGGCAGGCGCCTCTCTCTATCTCTCTCTTTCTCTTAGGTTGGAGGCCATGGCTCGTAGGTTGGAGACAACAGGCCCATCAGCGGTCTCCAACAGAGCAGGACCCATGTGTAAAGGTCCGTCCACTGTGACGGACATCAACGCATCGGACATAACAGCAACAGCTTCTTGTTTCTAATAGCAAACATTGTTACTAGTAGTAAGGCA